TCCTCTTTCTAAATATGTTACTCTTAGAGGTGTTATCATTTTTGCTGATGGGCTTGGCCTTCGCCGGAGGCAGGTCTGGCTTTGGAGCTGGGGGAGCTTGCAGAAGCTTCTCACAGGAGTCACCCCTGTACCCCTCCACTGTTACCAAAGCCCTGACACACAGACCCAACACACCTGTGAATTCTGTTACCCAATTTTGGAAGGAATTAGGTTTCTTTGACACAGTGTATTCATGACAGACCCATGTCTGCTGCTATTTTAATCCTTGTCTTCCAAGTTCTTGCTGACACTTGTTTATTTTACTTATTCCAGGTTTCTTTCTGGAGTCTGAAGTTCAACGAGATTTAAATTTCCAGCTTTCCTACTTTTTTTTAACTGAGGACTCCATGCAGCCTTTCTCAGTTGTCTGAGATTTCTCCTGTCTTCCATGAGTTCAAACCAGCAGCTAACAGCTTTGAGATTACTTCAGAAAGCTCTTGAAATATTCTAGGACATTCTAGGGTGTGGTACCTAAGTGGCTGAAACCATGGACATTATCTATGTACTTTCTAACTTGTTTCCATTTCATAGTTGGAAGTGGTACCTGTTTTGGTTTGGGGATTAATTGTGCTACTCACCTGCTCTTGATTAATTGTTCTTTATTAAAAATCGATGCAAAAAGTTCATGTGACACTTAAGCCTTCTTACAATCATCTGTCAAATGCTCTCCTTTTTCCATTGGTTAATGGATCAATATTTTCCACATTCTTTCTCTTATTAGCGGATGATATCATAGACTGATTTTTTTTTTCTCTCTGTGTTCTTCATGTTTCTTGTTAGCACCTCTCCCTTCAGTCTTTTATAATGTTTTTTCCATGTTCTTGAATTGGCTTTACACATGATCTTAGTAGTGTGACCAGTTTCCTACTTTCTGTGTGCTTTCTTTCAGTGTTCAGTTAAGACATTATGACTTAAGCAGCTTCGTCTTTAGTATACCCATCTCTCCTCTGCTTTGTAGAAAAACACAATTGTGCAATACAATTTCAAGGTTTGCACGTTTAGGATTCTGATATTTTTGAAGTGACAGAAAGAAAGCACAGTGACAGTCCACATCGGCCTGGCTCCCTTCTCATTTAAAGAATTAATCTAAGCACAAATTCCTCTAAAATAAATGTGTGGATAACTAGATCAAGTCAAGAAACTCAAAAGTGGCAATCCCTTTGTATCATCACTTTGCCCACTTGTCATATAGAATGGTCACTGCTTAGGTTTGTTGGTTTTTTTTTTTATTATATTTTTGAGATAGTTAATACATGGCATGCAAGATGTTACTAGAATACAAATAGCACTTATACAGATACTAATGATCATTGCTATATATTTTAGTAGTGATTTTGGTGATGACCATTTGGGTGATTTGGTTGTAAGTTTACAATGTCAGGTATTTTGTGAAACGGGTAATTTTCTGTTGTGGCGCAACTGTATTTGTTGATTTTCTGACTTAACTGTAGTTTTTGGGACCTGTATTTCTGTTGTTTCTGCAGTTGAAGTAATTCTGTGATTTTGTGTTTTCTCAGAAATGAAAGTATTTCCCAAAGACTTTGTAGTGAAATTTGTTCACTTAAATGAACTTTTATGTTGAATTACTATTCAAATGCTTCAACTCATGATCCATAGCACAGAAGTTTACTTGAGAGACAAGTTTTATGTACCCGTTGGATGTACTCAATAGTACAACTTCTTGCTAAAGGGTGGTAGGGATTAGCAGGGTGATGATGACAGTACTTAGTGAGTTTATTGCATTTGGATGGGTGCTTCATCTCAATTTTCCACTTCTTGTCAACTTCTAAGCTTAATAATGTTATAAACAAATACAATGAAATTGACCTAGGTATTGCGAATCTTTATTTGTAGTGGGGAAATCAAGTGAAGTATTTTAATTGCTATGTTGCAAATTGAATATAATAAATCCAGTAACTGCAGCTCTCAGTTTAAAGCATAGTTTCGTGATCGGGGAGAAATGAGTCCTATAGGTGAAATCTAGCATGGTGTCTCTCAAGTTCAGTATGTTCTTCTTACTTCCTAGGAATTAACACTAATTATGTAGATTTTAGGGTAGAAATAAATTCTCCCTGAAAGTTTGCTAAGCTGTCTTTGAAAATACTTGCTTGGTTCTTCAAAGCACTTTCTGTGAAGCTGTGTGAGCTTCAGTCTTTAAGCTATTTCTGTAAACTGCCTGCAGTTCAAGACATTTGTCACTGCTGTTAGTTTTTTAGTACAGGTAGAGTCTGCAGTTTCTAAGCTTCATAAAACAGACAGATCCTTATCAATAATCAATATTTGTAATATTTCTTACAAATGACTGACCCACCATTACTGACATCATTACTGACCCACCTTTTGAAATAAATTTGAGACAAAGCACTATATTATGGGACTGGTGACTGTGGTAGAAGTAAAAACAACAAAACATCTAGAAGTTGTATCCTCATCTTTGCTGGCACATCAAAGCTGTGAAACCTTACGAATAAGCAGTAATAAACGAGAAGCTTTTCATACTCCCAAATTACAGAAAAGTCTTCATTAAGATGCAGCAGCTGTTCATTTTCAGGACCACATGGTCTAGTCGGTGTGATAAGAACATGTGGCAATGGATCAGCAAGTTTGCTTTCACTGGAAAACACATAGAGAATAGGTCAATATTCAAGAAGAGCTGGAATTGGAGAATAATTAGTGTAATTTTCCATTTACTTTTCTTTCCAGCATGCCTCAGGCTAGGAAGGTCAAATAGACACTAAAGAGAAAGAAACTGCATCTGGAACTAGTCTAAAAAGAAAGATGTATCTCATGAGTAGTGATGTGTACAATTTGCTTAGTCTTAGAAAACCAACTAAGTTTGTCAGTTGATTGCTTGCTTCATCAAGGAAATCTGTTTTGCCTGTGTGATTCTGAAAGTTCTCTTTCTTCAGTTTCAAAATCTGAGGGATGTGAATTAACCAGTTCCAATTTCTTGTTTCTTTCAACTTCCCTTTCACATATCAGAGTCATATTACTCACTAGCTTCCTTTGGCTGGTTTGCAACTAGGAGGTTTTTCAGTGAGCAAAGACAAGCTCTTGGTTTTCCTGCTGTACAATGAAACTGTAACAGCCTGGAAATCTTGTAGCAATGCCTGACATAAAATGACATCTGACTCTATAATGTCCTTCCTTATGATTCAGTGAGATGAATTTAAATATCTTGCATGCCTTCTAGGTAGAGGCATATATCCTGTTGCACTCTTTGTGTCAATGTGATTAAATTTATTTACCTGCTTCAATTCATTTGTAGAGCAGTCATTGCTGTGATATCTTGGCATTGCACATCCAGCTATGAAATACGCATCTTGGGTAATTTATGTTCAAGAACAGTTTGCCAGTTCCCTGGTTTTGAATGTCTGTGTGTCATGTGGTTTTCTGTTTGCTTTGTCCAGTAGTGTATAGGAGCTCATCTGATCTATTTAGTAATATCATATTTCTATATTAATCTGCAATGGAACACAGTAGACTTTGAGGTTGCTTTGAAATATAAGGTGATCTAACTCCTTTGCTGGGTTTCTACCATCTGCCTCTTGTGTGTACACTCTGAAGCAATCTCTGCTGATCAGCAGTAAGGGGAAAATACCATCTCTTAGTGTGCAGTGTTTTGAATCTGAACTCTGCTTTTATAGCTTGTGAAGAAATAAGGTCTGTAGGCTATCTGGACTTCCTTTTACCTGTATCTTAACATATAGGCCACAGGCAAACTCACAAATCCATCAAAAAGTTAAGTAGTCTCTTAAATCTTGTGTAGGATGTATCAAAACAAGATGCTCTTCCTAATTAAATGTTGCTGTTGTGACTTTGTGCAGATTTTATGTTGCACATTGCTAACCTAGATTATTTTTTCTTCTGTGAGCAAAATTTAGTTAATCTTTCACAAGTTCTTGCATATGTCAGTTGAAGCATACTCCAAAGAGTAAGGGAATCTGTTTTGAAGTTTCAAAATTAATTCATTTTGAAGTGATGGAGGTTTTAATTTGAATCACTGAAAAAGCCTCCTCGAAGAGGCATAGGTGACTTAACTGTCTTTTACTGAAATGATGCAACAATTACGGTAGCTTTGAAATGTCAGTCAAATATATATGTGTGATAGACAATATATATTCTATTCTTGCAAAAGCATGTATTCCCTCAGTTTTGGCTAAAAGAGGTGAAAACTTGAAACTGTTAGGTCTTAGCATTCTTGTTAATACATGGCTTGCAAGTAAGTGCTAATCCATAGATTTCAATTGTTCATCTATCTTAAAATCAGTTTATCAGGATAAGGAACCAGCTCCAGTTTATAAATGTATGTTGGTTGACCTAAACTATCTGCAGAGCATCCCATAGAGCACAGAAGCCATGAACCCTGCCTTTGTGTTTCACTTTCTGCTTCAGTGAATCTTAGTCAGGCTGCTCTTAGGCTTTGAAATGTGTACCATTTGCAGAGAGAATTAAGCTTATTGTTAAATTTCACTTCACCCTGAGGTAATCTGGAAAACAAGGATTTTAATGGTAGGACTTGAGAATCTAATTTGGCCATGTGCTAAATAGCATAGTACTGTGTGTCTGTGTGATACGGTGATGATAACAGCCTCACCTTTTGAGATTTCAAACAATCCAACTTGCAAAATGTGTCATAAAAAAAAGAAGGACAATTTGTTTTGTGTGAATCTCTGGAAACTATATTGATTGGAAGCAGTTCTGACAGCTCACTCTCCATTTGGTCTTGTTGGGAGACTGTTAGGAGACAAATGATTGTGTAGTATTATTACTTGAAAATGAAAAGCTTGAATTGGAGGAACAAGCTGGTAGTAAGTGGATACCCTACACTAATCCTTAACCTTAGCTCTTGATTTTACTGATATTAGGGTTTTTAAAAACACTGACTCTCTTTTCTGCTGTTTAAAAAACATCTTCACAAATTTCTGTCGTTTTTTTCTTTTCCTTTCACAGGTTCCAACTATGGGAGTCCCCGTCCAGCTCATGCCAACATGAATGCCAATGCAGCTGCAGGGCTTGCCCCAGAGCACATCCCTACGCCAGGGGCAGCTCTGTCCTGGCAAGCTGCGATTGATGCTGCCAGGCAAGCCAAACTGATGGGTAGTGCTGGCAATGCAACAATCTCCACGGCTAGCTCCACGCAGAGGAAAAGGCAGCAGTATGGGAAACAGAAAAAACAGGGTACCACCACAGCTACACGTCCTCCCAGGGCACTGCTGTGTTTAACACTGAAAAATCCCATCCGGAGGGCATGCATCAGCATCGTCGAATGGAAATATCCTTTCTGATGTTCTCATTTGGATAACAGCAAATAGTTTGTGTGCATTGGGGGCTATTCAGAAGTGTGCAGAAATCAATACCTGAAGTTGAAAGGCACCACTAGGAATGTAAATTACACAAATAGTTTTTGATGTCTTAACTGAGATAATTTAAGCTGGGGAAAAAAAAAAAAGTTTAGGAATGAAGCCTTAACTATACCCTTGTGTAAAGAACCACTAGAAGTTTAAATGATAAAAATTAGGGACAAAATCTGCTCTTTTAAAAACATGTGGCACAGGTTGAAATTGATGGGAGATATGCAAGGTTTGTTTGTTGGTTTTGTTGGGGGATTTTTGTGGGTACTGAAAGAACTTCCACCAGTTAAACAGCTCTGGTACTTTGCATCATATGTTTGTTTTGTTTGTGTTTTTTTTGTTAAATGCATGGCATCACTTTCTACAGTAAGGAGAAAAGAATGGGACAAAAGGAAAAAAAATCCAAATGTGTGCCATAAGGCTCTGAAACAGGGCTAAGGTCTGTTAATGTTGTTTTTTTTTATTCCACATAAAGTAATAAGGCTCACTAATGTGTGGTGAGAGGTACTGGTTATCTGGAAACAGGGAAACAGACAAAGAGTTAAAGTAATCCTGCAATGTACAAACACAGTACAGGGCCAGGTCTAGTAGAAGAGACAGACTGTGTCAGAGATGATAGATGATAACCACTGACACAGAATTGCAGAATGTGAGGATCGGTGCTGCTTCCCAGGAAAGTCAGTGAGAGTTTGGCCATCAACTTCATGTGGAAGGAGAAAAACCTTTTTAGTTACCCCAGGTCTGAGCAGCACAAGCTGGAATTTGTTGTGAAACAAAAACTGAAATAAAATATACCTCCCTTGCCTACCCAAAGAGAAACTAAGAGTAACCGTGAACAGGAATTTTCAGTAAATCACAAGCTAATGGTGTCCTTAAGTAAATACAAAAGAAAAAAAACGTGTTAGGGATAGATAGGCATGTCAAGCAAAGGCAGTATAGAACTTGGCAGTATTCATATGATAAAAAAATGAATGATGGTAGTGAAGACAATGTAATAATATTGTTTCTTTGGGGACCTGCTGGGATTTGAGAGAGATGAACACAGAATATAAATATATTAGGTCTAGCTGACATAGACATATTTTTCAGATTAAGAACTTGTTAAAAATATTCCTGTCAGTTCTCAGATGTCCTTAAACTACCTGCCTGCCTATTTCTTTTTTCTTCAGATGCTAATTTTTAATCCCCCTGATTAAGTTTGCTACTTTTTATCCCTTCTGGCATAGCTCTGATACTTTAAGCATAAGATGATGGATGATGACTTACAGGATGAAGTTGAATTGGTTTACTTACTAGCTCCCCAGTAACCACATGTCTTTAAAGAAAGATCAGAGTGACATTTGATAAATGAATAAGATCAGCAATGAATTATGGGAATGATGTGTTGTAAAACAGGATACAGCACTGCTGAGATCAAGAGAGGACCAAACAATGTGATTAAAGCAATCCAAAGATGCTGATGCTTGCTTTTTTTGGTTTTGTTTGGTTTTAGGTGAGCTGATGGAAGCATTTTTTCCCATCAGAACCTCCCATTGGACTTCTAGTGTTTATAAACATGAAACATGATGACAAGTAACGATCCAAGAGTTGTGATCAATTGTGATAAGTTAATGTCATTCTGTACTCTGACTTTGCCTAATTGCTAAAAAATAGAGAAAGCTTTGCTTAATTAGATGAACCACTAAAGTCTAAGCATAGGAGATATTAAGTACTTCTGTGGTGTTTTTGCCCAAACAGTATAACACTAAGAACCTGAAGGTGCAATAGCACATAGGAAAAAAATGGAATTAATTAATTACCTTGTTTTACAAAAGATTTAGGTGTGTATTTAATTTTCTGCTATGTGTGCAGTGTGTTTGTAGATTTTATACCATTTTATTTTTACAGTGCAAAAATATAATAGAATTTAAAAAAAATGCATGAGCAATGATAAGTTAATAGATAATAATCCTGTCAAAACAAAAATATCTAGGAAAAAAGCAATTAAGAAAAGGAAAGCCTATGGAAATTCAGGTCTTTGTGTGTTAAACACTACCCATACAGCCAATATGAGGTACCTGAGAAGTCTTGCTGATTTCATATGTAATCTACCTACCCTGATTTGCTCTTCTTGCTCCATGTTATCACATATCTACTATTATTCATAGGTTTTGGCACAGTAGTTTGGTGAGTTTCGAGCCCTTTGACTCTTCATTCTGTGAAATGTAGAATGTATCTGAGCATAGGTGGGGGTCATGTGCCTGGGATTTTTGTGCAAATCTTGCAGTTCAGGCTGTTGCACATCCTAATCTCCAGTTCTTTCCTGCTAAAACATGCTGAGAACAGTAGTCTGCTGACCAAAATCATGCATGTGTTGATGACTGGCAGTGCTGCAAAACCACTCCCATGATAGATAAATTCAAGCTTAAATGCCCTCTGTGGCACAGGTTATACATGACATTCTCCTTGTCCTATCCTTCTTTTCATTCCAGTCTAGAGTACTGGTCAGTTATCACAGAGCCAGCCTCCAGGATATCCTTGCAGGTAAGTAAATGTAGGCAGACTGTAAATCTTGTCCCCAGCCTGAGTTTGGAGACACTTCACAGCAATTAAGGTTTAGGAGTCCACTGAAGTAGATGAAGTACAGCATGAGCAAATTGGTCACTAGAAAGATGCCCTTTGATTCCAGTGGACAGTCAGTGGGGCAACAAGGTTGTGCAGGATTTGTTCATTGAACAGCCCAGATCTTTGGGTTTTTTCCCTATCAAAGTTGATGTCAGACTGAAATGGTCCTGAATTGGTGCTGGTTTCTCTGTCGTAAGGAACTCTTAATTTCCAGGTGTGCCTAATATACGGTGTTGGCATATTTGTTATCCCTATGATGCCAAATGAAATGCAAATAAAAGAAAAAGAAGTACTGCTTCAAATATATTTTAAACAAAACAAGTATATATGGCAATGTGTAGTATAAGCACATTTTGGACAAAGCAAATTTTTTTTTGCCTTAACAAATATCCCATATGAAGAAAGGTTGAGGGAGCTGGGTCTTTTCAGCTTGGAGAAGAGGAGGCTAAGGGGTGACCTCATTAGTGTTTATAAATATGTGAAGGGCAAAAGTCAGGAGGATGGAGCCAGGCTCTTTTCAGTGATGTCCAATGATAGGACAAGGGGCAATGGGTGCAAGCTGGAGCATAGGAGATTCCACATAAACATATGGGAAAACGTTTTCACTGTGAGGGTGACAGAGCACTGGAAAAATGTTCTGCCCAGAGAGGTTGTGGAGTCTCCTTCTCTGGAGATTTAAAAGCTACCTGGGTGTATTCCTGTGTAACTTGCTCTAGGGGATCCTGCTCTGGCAGGAGGGTTGAACTAGATGATCTTTTGAGGTCCTTTCCAGCCCCTAACTTCCTGTGATTCTGTGTTATTTTTATAATCTTTGAAATGCCTTCTAACTGAATGTATGCATGTATTTTTTGGGCCCTTGCATTAAACTTTCAGGTATGAGAGTCTGAGCTAAAAAAATACTGCTACAACAAAAAAAACCCTCCAAAACCTTTCATTAAATTTATTTCAGGTTTTGCAATTTCAGGTAAATACACATGGAGAAGACCGAGAGAAGCTAATCGTAAGAGGAAAGATGACAGTCCTTCTAGAACAGGCTTCTATGATTAAAAATAGTGAAACCACACTTGAGGGGAAATAGGGAAAATGAGAGCTAAATAAATAAAGGAAGGAAAAAAAAACTTTTAAGAAATCTGTGTTTACTCTGGCACGCGACTGGCCTACACTGCTTTTGACATATTAGGAAGATTCTTGGCTGGGAGCTCCTAAAAGCACTTAAAAAGGCATATGTTTCTTTTCAGAATATAAGGGGCTTGGAATGTTTTCTTTAAACAGAATTCTTATAAATATTTCTTTTCTTTCTTTTTTTTTTTTTAAAATTTGTGTATACGTTTTGGAACAATTTCCTTAACTCCATTCCTCAGACCATTTGAAATAATTATTTTACTGACTATTTTTGCCAATTGTGTGGCCTTAGCTATCTATATCCCCTTTCCAGAAGATGATTCCAATGCCACCAATTCCAATCTGGTAAGTCCTTAATAGTGTTTAGTCTTACTATTTTGAAAGTCCTTTTAAAAAGTGACCAAAAAGACGGTTGATGCTAGGGAAAAGAATAAGGTAAAAATTGTTCTTGAGTTTTGTGTCTCTATTGGTGTTAGCACCTCCTTCAGGTGAGCTGGCTTTAGAAAAGAATGTTCCAAAATTTTCATGGGTGCTGTATCTGTTGGTTAACCAAAGACTGCATGCTGCAAAACTGCTTGGTAAGTGTTGAACTGCAGGTTATTTCCAAGAGAAATCTTTTAATCTTGGATTATGTGGTGTTTTTTTCTCTTACAAAGTGATGTTGTGAAATTGATACTGTCCGCCTCTCAGGTGATACTAGAGAGCACAGCTTGATGGTGAATTTCCAGAATGTACCTTAATGCTTGCATTTCACAGACACGTGTTTAGCTGAACAACATTTGTGGGTTTGGGTGTGCTGTTCTTATTCTTTTTTTTTTTTCCCCTTCCCTCTTGTTGGGGGAATATAGCTTTTCCTCTGTCACCACTGATACTGATGTTGGTATTTTGGGATAGACCTGTCCATATAAAAAAGGAAAGAGGGTTTACTTTTGGCTTCTCATGAATCCATAGCAAGAAGTCTGTTTGGTAAGGGCACAACACAAAACAGCTCTGCAACACAAGTCACTGAATTAGCAGAAAACATTTTTGTTCCTCTTAAATATGTGAATAAATCTCCTACTTGCCTGGTTGGATTAGGATGAGAACTTGCTCTGAGTTTGAAAGGTTAGGATGCTATTTCCTGGCTCCTGACATAAGAAATTTTAGAGCAACAGAAAAGGGAAACAAAAGTTGTATTTCCAAAGTAGAGATAATTGTGGTGGCTGACAGACATTGTAATTAAAATGATCCATGCTGTTCCTGGAGGTCAATCATTTGATTAAATATCTCTTGAAGTTGTATAAAACAAACTGCAAACTTCAGGAGTTTGCTAGAATTATACTTCTGTGTTTAAAAAAAAGTAAAAGTAAACCACTGAACACTAAAAAAGCCCAAAACAAACAAAAAAAGCAAAAAAAAAAATTTGAGTGTAGTGCTTTTATACTGTAACTCCTTAAGGAAATTTAAAAATGAGAACAGGAGGAGATGAGAGATTGTTAACTTTTAACTATTCTCTGTATTTATAGAATATGAATTGGTCTTGTTTCTCTTTTACTTCTATCTCTTTGTTAACCTGACTTACTGTTGAACAATAATGAATGGTGGTATGTAGATTTAAGACACTTCAGTATGGCACTTTAATGAAGTTATTAACTTTTATTTTTAAAAAAGCAGTGTCAATTTATCCTGTGATTGTAAAAGACAGTATGTTGTTAATTGCACGTTCTGACTTGCAAGACTGAAAGAGGAAAACAAAGCAGAGCTGAAGATTAGAAGACCCTAGCTTATCCTAAATTTAATTGGTTGTGGGTATGTCTTATTTCAGGGAGGAGACTGCTGGCTAATGCTAGATTGGGAATACATTCATAATTGAATTAGGTGTATTAATTCTTCTACTATCAGGAAATACAGGCACTTTGTGAGCCATGTTGCTATTCTGTATCTGTTTTCCAAAATGTCTTTTGCATCATTTGGTCAGCCTATCAAAACATTCAGATTATTTGTGTGTAGGATTTAAACAATCCCAGTCAAGCAAGAATTATAATCTCAGAAAAGTTTAGAAATATTATAGCCTTGAGGATGAGGAGCCATTGTTAATTTATCCAAATAGCTGCTTCACAGAAGTAAGGGGAGAAGCAAGTAAAATGGGGAGTCTACTTAATTACACTGTGTTCTGTAGATCTTATTGGAAATAGTAATAAAAAAAATGGAAAACAGAGTACTTATTGTCCCATGAGAGGCTTGCATGAGTGGAATTGAGACTCTATTCTACACTATACATGAAACCCTGGAGCTCCAACTTTTCCTTAGCCTTTGGTCCTATCAGTCCCAGTTTGTGGTTGTAGTTGTGGGATTTTGTGGTTTTTGGTGGTATGCTTTTTGGTTTTGTTTGCTTGTTTTCTCAGGGTGATGTATCTTGGCATGCATATACTGGTGTTGGGAAATGGATTCTTTGAGTATATGTTATGCTGTATTCCAAAACTTTTCACAGAATTGTGAAGAGTTGTATGTTGTGATTAGTGGAGGGTGTCCCTGTCCATGCAGGGGGGGCTGGAAATAGATGATCTTTAAGGTCCCTTTCAACCCAAACTACTATGATTCTGTGATTAGTGAGTAAAGTCCTGAACAATAGGGAGTGGAAGTGGAGACAAATGGGTGAGACAAGGGAGAAAAAATGTGTTAGTTGTGTCTTGGAATGGGATGAAAGAATAGATGAAACTTGCAGTTAAAAGAAAGCTATTCCAGATGGCAGAAACTGCAGAAGAGTGGGACCTTACACTCAAAGAGCTGAATAGTACATGGAAGAGATTAGAAAGAAGCTAGGGTTAATAACATGTTCCTGTAAAAGCTCATGAACTCGCTTATTATTTTTTTTTTTCTACCTGTGAGTGTGTATTTTGCAATCTGATTTATTTTGTAACCATGAAGTCTAGAGCTCCAAAGGCTATAATCTGAAACAGGATAGGAGTGTATGTCAGCAACGTGTGCACATAGGTGAATATCAAGCGCAGACGTGAGTACTGTGTTGAAGCTGCCCAGAAGAGATTTTCACTTGTCTAAGAACTCTTGATTAATTTCCATTTTGTGACATAGCTTTTTTTAGGAGTAAAGCTACCAGAAAAACTCCCACATCCCTGGTTTCCTGAGCCATGCTTAACTTTCTCAGACACAAAGAAACTATCTGCAGAAAACATGTGATGGATAGGAGAAGTTTTATAAGGTCTGAAAGTGGCACAACAACCCTTTACCTTTAGGGTATTTCCTCTCTAATGTTTCATCATAACTTTTCAAATAATGCTTTCTATGGGGACTGAGGTAAAAATTCAATCAGTTGTTTTTAACAAGATAATGGAGCCAGTGGTGGTGAGAGAAGAGAAAGAAAAGAATTCTGAATTTTGAGTGGCTTCTTTCCGTCTCTCTGTAAAATCAGAAAAAGGATAGCTAAATAACATGTTGATAAATAATTGCTCTGTATGAATTTCACAGAAGTGATCAGCCATTGGTCAAATAGGCCGTACTTATTGCTGTGTGCCTTCCACAGAAGTCTTGAAGAGACTCATGCCTCATTTGTCTTGTTACAAAATCATTACAAAACCAGTAACCTAATAGTCATATCTCCATTTTAATAAGCCTGGTTTTTATGTACAAAACCTATTTGATGTGATGCCACTGTAATTAATATGAGCATTGGAACTAAAGGATAGGTAATCCCTTCCCTTTTATGTTAGTGAGGAATTTGGATTAGTTGTTATTTATTGCAAGTTTAGACCAAACAGCAAATGGATGTTCTGACAGGTTCTTTGCAGTCTGGCTTCCTGTAATAATAAGTCCTGTAAATCTTCAGGCCATTTTTATCAAGTCTAGGGATTGTAACTTGGACTGTGAAGCACTTTCATTTTTTGAATGCATGTGTATCCTAAACCCCAAATGTTGTATTTTTATGCTCACTGCAGTGTATTTGTCACTGGCTTTCAGAAAAATGTCAGAACAATATAATGTAGTAATAACAAATGCTTGAAATTGGCTTCACAAGTTTTTGTCTTTTACATCTGCAGTGTGCTCACTGGAAAACTATTGAACTTGCACAAATGGAGGGGAGTTGCATTGGATGCAAAGTTTTTTTGGTATTAATGAACTCTGCTGAGACATTGTTTAAATTTACAAGTAAAGAAAGCTCATGGATGTCCCTGTGAGAAAAGCATTTATACATTCTCTTGATGCAGTCAGGAAAATTTGAGTTAGTTTGAAGGAAATTAAAGTGAGAGGCTGTAACTGATATAGAGGTTCTCTCCTTGTTATCCCTGCGATTATGCATTAGAACAGAGATAACGTACATTTAGGAATAAAACTACAGACTGCCTAAGATAGGAAGCTGAGAGGGGAACCCTTCTATCACTTTATTGGCAATTGCAAATGGCGCAAGCCTGGTTAATGTCACAGCGTGGTGATACCATACTGAGGTTAAGACCAAGGTTTACACCACATTCCATGGAAGGCGACTTAGTCAGTTGTTTATACTTAGGATAAATAGCAGGAGACTTCTTGTTTTGTTTTGATAGCTCTGCTTTCCCTCCCTTGTCCTTGTTACAGGAAGGAAATCCTGTTGTACACTGTTTAAATGTAAAAAAAGATCTCTTGTGTTTATATGTGAACTCATAATGGGATATCACTTTCAGACTAATTTGTTAAACCTGAAATAGGACCCTGTAAAAAAATAAAGATGGGATTTCTGTTTGCCCATCAGTGCTTGTGCCAGTGGTGTTTGTGGGAATGCCTGCATATGGAAAGGGGGCTTGCCTTTCAGGAGGGTGTAGCTGCTTTACTAACTGGTGATTATGGTAGTATCCAGTTGAGAAGGTGATTCCTTTACAAAAAAAGAAGAAAATATTTAAATTGTGGGGTTTTTTTTGCATTTGCAGCAAACTGACAGGATAGGTGTGGATGTCACTGTATATGTGTCTAGATATTTACATTATGTTTCTAGGTACTGGCATATCACACTTCAGCATTTTTTATATCAGAAAATTCTGGAGTCGGTGTATTGAGCAGTCTCTCAGTTTTTCTTGGGCAAAGTCAGAAAGTGTTAGAAAGCAAATTGGGGGTGAGAAGGTCAGGAAAAGAAAGGATGGCTTTTCTGGATAAGGAGGAATACTGCACAAAAACTTTTGGTTCTTTTTGAGTCATCGCTATCCTCCTGTGTGACAGTTTCCAACTAGCAATAAAGTTATGAGATATGCTAACGTTAGGGGTGAGGTGCAGGGCAGGATAGGATGGATACCAAGCTAATAAGATCTGATAGTTTTATTAGCTTGGGCCTCATGCCAGCACTACTACAGCTGGGCAAAGTTATGGAATTTAAAAAGTGA